GGCGCATGCGTCGGCCGCCTCGGCAGAGGAGGGCGAGGAGGCGCTGGCCTGCCGCGCGGGCGGCGGCTGCCCAGGCCGCCCCGACTCGATGATCCCCAGCGTGACGTCGGGGCCCTCGAGCGGGGCGAGCCACAGGCGGGTGCAGCAGTCGTCGGACAAGGGGGGTAGGCCAAAGACTGGAGGACTGTCTTGAAACCCGCGAAAAAATCGATGGTCCTGGGCACGACCGAGGAGCCGTGAACCACCAGGTGCGCGCGCACCACATCGAAGTGCTTCAAGGCCTCCGATTCGATGAGCTCGGCGAACGGTGACGATGTAGCCGAAGCCAGATCCGGAGGCGTATACGTGGTCACCTCCTGCGCCGCTGCCGAAGCGTTCATCTGTAAGACCGCCATGCCCTGCGTATCGCGAGAATTCTCAAGATCCGTAACCATGCAGCCGAGGCTCTCAATGTCCTTGGGATGGCCGAAATGGGAAGTGTAGGGTGGAGAGAACATGTAATTTAGGAAAAGGGGCATGCGACAGAATGCCCCCGAAAACTGTCCTCTCAAACTCGCGGCTTCAGCTTGAGCCATGCCTGAGCCAAGTGCCATTTGCCCAGCACGAGCGCTCAGTGCTCATATGCCCAACACGACGCTCAGATTCCCAACACGACGCTCTCCGTCGCGGTAAACACTGATGCGAGATAGGTTCAATTACATTGTAATCACGTAGAGCGAAATTAGAGAGCAACATGTAAAGCGACAGGGGCAAAAGAGCCATCAGATAGCATGAATGAGACGATACGAGTTCTGGCAATGCACGCGCCGCGCCAGGCCACGAACCAGTGAACGATCAACCAGAAGGAACGAAAACCCCACGCACACCTCAGGTCGATATCAGTGCATGTCCTGTCTGGGGCGTGGGTTCAAAAGTGCCCAGAGCCTGGCCCATATAGAGGAACAGAAAACTGCATGAACAGAAACTCTCGGACCTCCGCGCGGAGTTCTTGGATCGGCGCTGGAGGCGCCGCCGGGGGGGGGCCAGCGCCGATCGAAAACTTCCGCGCGGAGCGCCGAAAGTTCATGTTTATGCAGGTTGTGTGTTTGATCGGCTGCGTTGATTTCTAGTCAGAGCAGGAGTAACAGTAGGGCGGGCCCTGTCGTGCCGAGGCGCAGCCATGCGTGAGCATTCAGCGCGCATGGCAACCACAGGTGGGCCATGATGATAGCAAGTGGGCCTGTGAATCTTGATCGGACTAATGGGTCTCGCTGCCTAACGGTGGGCGCCCCATTCGAAACCCACGCTGCATAAATCCAGGGAGGGGCAGGGGGATGGAGTAGCAGGGAAAGCGGGCCGAGAGGGAGAGAGAAAAGGGCACCCTCGTGTGCTTCTTTTGCCTGCGATCAATCAGTCCCACGGTAGCAACGACGCACCCATCGCGCGCTACCGGAACACAAAGAGACCGCCACGCACAATCGCAGCATCTGTCCCTTCTCCCCCCTCGCCGCCTCCGCTACAGCCCTCTCACGTCCGCCCGGTTTGCTCCCCTTCCTCAGTTCTCCACCGTGCCAGCAGCACGTTGGGGTCGTTTTCGACCGCGTGTCTGTTGTCCGGCAGGGTTTCTTCTGAGGTATTCCTCAGGCCGACCCTGCAAACGCCCCCTCTTGCGCTGCTCCCCGGCGCGATTTCCGGCATCTGGACGGCTCTAAGACAGCCCCCGAAACAAAAACGCCTGCACGACGCCCCGAGACGATCCAAAGTCGGGCCAACGAACTCCCACAGAATCCAAGATAAAGTTGAAATGATCCAAGACGCACCAAGGGGCATCTAGAAGACGCTCAAGGTGGTCTCCAGCGATGCCATCGGAAGCAAATCGCACTGTGCACTGACAAATCAATGCACTGTTCTTCTGGATATATATATATATATATATAATATATATATATATATATATATATATATATGTGTATGCATGTATGTATGTATGTATATATATATAAACATATATATACACATACATATATATATATATATATATATATATATATATGCCTGGAAACGTACGGGGAAAGCTTCAGAGAGCTTCACCTCCAAGGTGGCCCAAAACGGAATCAAATACGCCCCAAGACAGCCCCTAGACTGTCCGAGGCCCATCTGAGACAGCTGAAAAAAACTGCAAGACGGCTCCCCGAGACACGGTAAGCCGTCTCCAAGATGGTTCAGCCGATCCTATTCGGACATTTCTGGCTCCAAGACCTCTCTCAGATGCCCCTTATAGGGCCCACGATGTCTCCAAGAGACGCTGATGTAGACATTCAGCAAGGCTCCTGGAAGCGGAAATCACTCCCAAGACTGCTCAATTTCAGATCGACTCGGATCAGCTTGAAAGAGCTTCGAGAAGCGCGCAAGACAACCAGAGACGGCCGCAAGAGCGTTCCGAGACTAACCGAGAACCCACCAAAGGCCAAAGTGGGCTCCATGACGACCCCAATATCTGCCCATTCTTACGTCCCCACGAAATTGGTAGATCAAGAGGTACTGAGACCGCTAATCCCTGGACCTCTCCCGGAGCGCGTTCCGACCAGGATTTCGAAGCGAATCCAGCGCTGGCGACGAGGGCGCCCCAGGAGACCCCAAAAAGACGAAACCGAGGCAAGGGTAGCGGTAGCGGTACCTAGCTGTAGCCTCTTCGGTACATAGCCGAAACCTCCTCCTCCTCCTCCTCCTCCTCCTCCTCCTCCTCCTCCTCCTCCTCCTCCCCTCCCCCCCCCCCTTTCCCACTCCTCCCCCTCCTCCTCCTCCTCCTCCTCCTTCTCCTCCTCCTCCTCCTCCTCCTCCCCCTCCTCCTCCTCCTCCTCCTCCTCCTCCTCCTCTGACAACTGTTGAGCATAGTCTCTTCGGTACAGCTCAGTGGAACCATCGCGCTCAAGACGGCCCCGAGGCCCCCAAAATGGGGCCCCAAGCGGGCCCCAAACAGGCCCTCCAAAAAACTCGCGAAGGGGGCCGAACGGCATCCACGAGGTCCCTAAGACGCCTTCAAGTACAGACGCCCAGGGAAACACACATAAGCAGACACACATTCAAGGATTCCCACCACATTCCCCCCACAGTGTTTACATTTTGGGTTTCTTCCATTATATTTCAAATGAATCGGGCTGGTGTGCCGTTCTGGTGGTTATGTTGTCGCGGTCGCCGCGTGGTGGCCGCCTCGTCGCCGACCGTCTGGGCGGGTGTGCCGTTCCGGCGGCTATATTGTCGCCGTCGCCGCCCCGTCGCCGCCTCGTCGCCCGCCCGTCGTCACGGCCGGTGTGCCGTTCAGGCGGCTATGTTGTCGCCGTCGCCGCCCCGTCGCCACCCGTCGTCCAGGCCTGTGACCCGCTCTGGCAACTATGTTGTCGCAGTCACCTCTTCGTCGCCGCCTCGTCGCGGCCCCGCATATCCGCACCACATATATTGCACCACACGGATTGCATCACATAGTCTCATTGTCTTGTTATCCTGGCGAATGACCCAACCACTCGCAGTTGTGAATACCGTCGGTGCGGGCATCGCCCTGGGGGCATATCCTGATGGGGCCATGGATCATGCAAGAGGTGCGCCAACATGGGGCGTAGCCGCCATGTGGGCGCTGCAACCGGGGCCTTAGGTGTGACCAATCGTACTGCCACGAATCGTGCGAAGGGTGCGCCGCAATGGGGCGGGGTCGCCACTAGGGCCTACGGTGGATCTCCCTATGGGGGCCGCGAAACATTGACTGGGCGGGGGAGACGCATGCGAAAATCGCCACTGAGGTCTTCCCTGGAGATCCCTGTCGGGCCACGAGGCGCTGCGCGCATGCGAAAGCCGCCACCGAGCCCTTCGGTAAAGCTCCGTACGGAACAACGAAACGCTGCTCTGGGTGGGGGGACCGCATGCGAACACTGCCACTGAGGCCTTCGGGGGGGGGCCCTCTATGGGCCCACGGAACGCTGCGCTGGGTGGAAGAGACGCACGCGAACTTCGCCACTGATGCCTTCGGTGGAGCCCTCTTCTGGGGCCACGAAGCGCTGTACTGGGTCGGGGCGACGCATGCGCACACCGCCATCCGGTGGAGCCCTTTTTTTATGGGGCCACGAAGCGCTGTACTGGGCCAGTGAGACGCACGCGAACAACAAAACTGGAGCCTTCGGTGGAGCCTTTTTTACGACGCCACGAAACGCTGTGCTGGGCCAGGGAGACGTGCGCGAACAACAAAACTGGGGCCTTCGGCGGAGCCCCCAGGCCAACGCTGCACTGGGCCGGGGAGACGCACGCGAACACCGCCACGAAGGCCTTCGGTGGACCCCTTTACTTGAGGGGGGAACCGCGTTGCAACGCAGCCGCTGAAGCCTTCGGTGGAGCGCCAATGGGGCCACGGAACGCTATACTGGGCGAGGGGAACCGCATGCGAACGCCGCCGCTGAGGCATCCCGTGGGTACCCCTATCGGGCCATGAAGCGCTCTATTGGGTAGGGGCGGCGCACGCGGGCGGTGCCACCGGGGCTTCCATTGGAGCCCCGTATGGGGCCACGAAGAGTTACACTGGGTGACGCGCGCGGGCTGTGCCACTGGGGCCGTCGGTGGAGCCCCCTATGTGGCCACGAAGCGCTGCGCTGGGTGGGGGTGCCTCATGCGGGCGGTGCCGCTGGGGCCTGTTTCTTTAGCTGCGCTCCAGGCTCGCGCTGCGCGAGCTCGGTCCTGGGGTGGCTCTAGGGCGCGCGCCGTCACCGAGGGGGGGCACCCACCTGGCCGTGCCAGCACTAAACGGGGCCAGACCACCGAAGGCATTCCCCTTGACCCCGCCGCTACCGCAGACGTCGAGGCTGACGAATGCTCGGCTTGCTCTACAAAAGTCTGCGGCATTACCTGGGGCACCCCCGCGGGGCACCCTCCAGGCTGCGCCCCCCTCCAAAGAGGGCACAGTTCACCGAAGCCACTCCCTCAGGAGCCACAGGCGGATGGAACCGCCAGGCGCTAGGCGCGCCACGCGCGAGCGCGAGCTAACGGACTCTGGCAGGCCTCCAGCTCACGGACTCTAGCATCTGCCGAAGCTGCTCGCTGACCCGAAGCTCGTAGTCAGCCGCCTGGCGGGGGCGGCCGTCGGCAACCGCGAAGACCCCGTCAAGGCCGACCTCCGACGCCGCAGCCCCGCCAGCAGCAGGCGCCGCCACCGCGAGCGCCGCGCCCAGCTCCGCCGCCGCGTTCGCCCGAAGACGCCTGGGCCCGCGCCGCCGCCGCGCGGCTCCGTCGGCCTGGCCGTCGCTCCCGAGGACGGACGGGCAGGCTGTCGGCCCAGAAGTCGTCGATGATCCCGTCGCTGCGTCAAAGCCGTTGACCATGGGAGCGTCGCCGCCAGAGCAGCCCTCAGGAAGGGCAAGCATGCCGGCACGACCGGCTCCAGGAACCGCATCACGATCAGCACGGCGCCCTTCAGCGAGCCGAGCGCGGCGCCGCCGCCGCCGCTACCCCTTCGCATCCGATGCGCCATCTTTACCGCCAGCCGGCCCAGCGCTGGCGGCCGCAGGCTACTGCGGGGGTGCCACGGCCCGAAGGGCCACCGAAACCGCGCCCCGCGCCACCGCAGCCACCGTTCGCCGTGGCGCCTTGGCTTCGACGGCCGCGCGGACCGCGGCAGCCACCAGGGCCGCCCCGTCCACCCCAGCTGTCGCCCCTCTAGCCGCACGCAGGCCATCCATCCCGCGAAGGACGGCCGAGGCGGAAGCGCGGCGTGCGGTCGTTTGAGCCAAAATTCGCCACTGGGGCATTCGGTGGAGCTCCCTTTGGGGCCACGAAGCGGTGTACGAGGTGGGGGAGACGCATACGGGCGGTGCCTCTGGAGCCTTCGGTGGAGCCCCTTATGGGGCCACGAAGCGCTGTACTGGGTGGATGTCACGCATGCGGGCGGTGGCATTGGCTCTTTCGGTGGAGCCCTTTGTGGGGCCGCGAAACGTTACATTGGGTGTGGGTGACGCACGCGGGCGGTGCCACTGGGGCCTTCGGTGGAACTCCGTGTGGGGCCACGAAACGCTGTACTGGGCGGGACTGATGCATGTGAGCGGTGCCACTGGGGCTTTCGGTGGATTTTCTTTTGGGGCCACGAAACGTTGTACTGGATAAAGGAGCCGCATACTGATGAGGGCAAAGGCAACGAGGGGGAGGAGGGAGGAGGGAACAGGAGGGAGGAGGAAGGGAGGAAGGAAAGAGTGACGCGGGGCGCTGTTTTTTCAAAACGAAAAACCAACACCACAATATGGATGGGGCACATAATCCAAACCGACCACCACCACTCGCGAGATTATACGCCCGCCGCTTCGCACTACAACTTACATACGATTCTTCCCGATCGTCCATGCTGCACACGAATACACACCATCACAGCCTCCACCAATATCCCCCCCCCCCTGCCACCCTCGGCAAAAAAAAAAAAAAAAAAAAAAAAAAAAAAAAAAAAAAAAAAAAAAAAAAAACGCCATGGACGCGCACTCGTTTATGGAACGCACGCATGGCCAAAGACAAAATTACTCCGACAGTAGGACCCCGCATGAGTCTCCGTTTAGCTGACCCTTTGCCCTTTCCTCCTCCCCCTGGCGGACACCCTCTCCTCTCCCCCTCTGCACTGCCCTCTATTCCTCCTTCTATGTCTCTTCCTCCTTCTCCGCCTCCTCCTCCTTATCCCCCCCTCCTCCTCCCCCTTCCTCCCCCCCCCCTCCCTTCGCGCCACCTCCTCCTCGTCGTCGCCCTCCCCCATGCCCCTTCCCTCCTCATCCTCCTGCCTCTTCTCCATGTGCACCTCCCGTTCCCCCTGGTCGCGGCAGGCAACTCGATTTTCCTCGGCGCCGTCGCCGCGTCGGCCAGCGCGCGCGCGTTTGCCGACGGCTAGATCGCGCAGCCGCCGGGGCAACCCTTCGGGCCAGGCCGTCGGGACAACCTCGCAGGCCGCAGGGGCGCGGGAGCCAGCCGTTGGGACAACCCCGCGGGCCTCCAGGCGCGCGCCGCGGCGCCCAGGCGGGCGGCAGCGCGAAGCCCAGCTCTGCCGCGAGCTGCTCCGCCTCAGCCCTGGAGCCCACCGCTCTCGTGTCAAACTCCTGTCGCGCCTTCCGCAGGGACGCCGGCGGCCCGCGCTCCAGGAACTCTCGCGCGGGCGGCCGCAGGATCAGCATGTTCCGCACGCACGTGGCGCGGGAGAACATGACGTAGAGTGCAGCCACCACGTCTCGTCCGACATGCCCGTGCGGCCAGCGTCCTCATCCCTGGCGCAGTCGATGGTGACGCCCTTGCGCAGCGTCTGGCCCTGCGACAGCGTGGAGGTCAGGCAGGACGCATGCCTCAGGGTGAACCCCGAGCGGCGCACTGCGTGCGCCCCCAAGCTCTGCCACGTGAACTCCTGCTCGCTGGGCCTGAACATGAGCAAACTCCTCGCCCGCGCCTCGGCCTCGCCGTCGTCGCCAGCGCCATCGGCGCGCTGCTGCAGCACCTCGGCGACCTCCTTGTAGATCGGGGACTCCTGGAAGCCGTGCACCTGCAGCCAGATTCCCTGCGGTAGGTAGCGAGGGCGGAAGAGCTGGCCCGGCGCGCACTCCTCGCAGTCCCGCTCGTCGTCTGCGTGAAACTCGAAGGACACGATGGTGGCCCGTTGCTCCTGCACGAGCCCCAACTTCTTTTTGCAGCTCCTCCTGCACGGCGGGCCCCATAGGGAGGGGGCTCACGCCTGAGACTTCCTCGCAATTCACTCACAGACGAAGCTCCCGCCTTATACTTCCTCCACAATCAAACCTCAGGATCGCAAAAGTGACGACAGTTACAAGTTCCAGGATGACCCGCTCGGATTCGTAACATGATCTGCGGGCCCCATGAGGAGGAGGCTCCCGCCCGAGACTTCCTCACAATTGACTCACAGACGAGGCGCCCGCGCGATACTTGTTTCATATTCAAACCTCAGGAGCCCAAAAGTGACGACAGTTACAAGTTTCAGGATGACCCGCTCGGATTCGTAATATAGGGAAGGGGCTCCCGCCGGAGACTTCCTCGCAATTCACTCACAGACGAAGCTCCCGCCTGATATTTCCTCCATATTCAAGCCTCAGGAGCCCAAAAGTGACGACAGTTAGACGTTCCGGATGACCCGCTCGGGTTACCAACATAAAATGCGGGCCCCATATGGAAATGGCTCCCGCCTGAGACTTCCTCGCAATTCACTCACCGACGAGGCTCCCGCCTGATACTTCCTCCATATTCAGGCCTCAGGAGCCCAAAAGTGACGACTTTACACGTTTCGGATGACCCGCTCGGATTGCCAACATGAAGCGCGGGCCCCATAGGGAGGGGGCTCCCGCCTGAGACTTCCTCGCAATTCACTCACCGACGAGGCTCCCGCCTGATACTTCCCCCATATTCAATCTAGGGAGTGATTGATGACGAAGTGATGAATCAGTGAGTGCTGATGATGAGTGAGTGATGGGTGAGTGATGATGATGCTGATGCTGATGATGATGATGATGATGATGATGATGACCAGTGAGTGGGTGATCGAGAGATGATGATGATGGTGATGGTGACGATGATGTTGAGAGAGGCGGCGGTCCTACCGTCGGTGGACCACTGCCTCCGAAGCCTGCTGAGGATGAGTGAGTAATTGAGTGAGTGAGTGGGTGATAGAGTGGTGAGGATGGTGACGATGATGATGATGAGGAGGATGATGATGATGATGAGTAGTGATGACGGTGATGGTGGTTGATGGTGATGATGATGGTAATGATGATGAGTGTGTGCGTGTGATGGCGATGATGACGGTTGATGGTGATGATGATGGTGATGATGGTGAGTGTGTGAGGGAGAGAGAGAGAGAGAGAGAGAGGAAAGGGGGGGTGAGATCCTGCGCGGCGTGTGCAGAGAAAACAAGAACCCCACTTTGGATGTGGGGAACAAAACAAATGCACACGCGCGCATCGTCGCGCGCGCTTGCCGCAATCCGCCAAAAACCGTGAGTTGCGCAAGGAATATTACAATCGAGTGTCCCGAACACGTGCCCTGGCGAAGGACCCAACCATATGCAGTTGTGAGCGCCGCCGTTGTACGCGCCGCATTCGGAGGAGCTCTCTATAGGGCCACGAAACGTGAGGGATGTGTGCCAAAAGTTGTCCAGTGGGCGCATGCGAAAGGCAGCCACTGGGGCAATTGGTGAAATTCCGTATGGGGCCCCGAAACGCTTGAAAGGTGAACCGAAACAGGTGCGGTGGGCGCGTGCGAACGCAGCCACTGGGGCCGTCGGTGGAACTCCGTATGGGGCCGCGAAACGTGTGATGGGTGTGCCGTAGTGGATGCGGCGGGCGCATGACAACACAGCCACTGGCGCCTTCGGTGGAGCTCCTTATGGGGCCACGAAGCGCGTGAGGGGTGTGCCAGAATAGGCGTGGAAAGGACATGCGGACAATGGCACTGGGGCCTTTGTTGGAGCACCCTGTGGGGCCTCGAAACGTGTGAGGGGTGTGCCGAAATGGGTTTGGGTGACGCATGCGGGCGGTGGCACTGTGGCCTTCGGTGGAGCTCCCCATGGGGCCACGAAACGTGTGAGGAATGTGCCGAAATGGGTGTGGGTGACGCATGCGGGCGGTGGCACTGTGGCCTTCGCTGGAGCTCCCTATGAGGCCTCGAAACGTGTGAGGGGTGTGCCGAAATGGGTGTGGGTGACGCATGCGGGCGGTGGCACTGGGGCCTTCGCTGGAGCTCCCCATGGGGCCACGCAACGTGTGAGGGGTGTGCCAAAATGAATGCTGGTGACGCGGGCGGGCGGTGGCACTGAGGCCTTCGGCGGAGCTCCCTAAAGGGCCTCGAAACGTGTGAGGGGTGTGCCGAAATGGGTGTGGGTGACTGATGCGGGCGGTGGCACTGGGGCCTTCGGTGGAGCTCCCTATGGGGCCACGAAACGTGTGCGAGGTGTGCCGAAATGGGTGTGGTGAGGCATGCGGGCGGTGCCACTGGGGCCTTCGCTGGAGCTCCCTATGGGGCCTCGAAGGGCGTGAGGGGTGTGCCCAAATTGGTGTGGGTGACGCATGCGGGCGGTGGCACTGGGGCTTTCGGTGGAGCTCCCCATGGGGCCACGCAACGTGTGAGGGGTGTGCCAAAATGAATGCTGGTGACGCGGGCGGGCGGTGGCACTGAGGCCTTCGGCGGAGCTCCCTAAAGGGCCTCGAAACGTGTGAGGGGTGTGCCGAAATGGGTGTGGGTGACTGATGCGGGCGGTGGCACTGGGGCCTTCGGTGGAGCTCCCTATGGGGCCACGAAACGTGTGCGAGGTGTGCCGAAATGGGTGTGGTGAGGCATGCGGGCGGTGCCACTGGGGCCTTCGCTGGAGCTCCCTATGGGGCCTCGAAGGGCGTGAGGG